TGATCGATTCTGGAGAATGATCCATGCGCACTTGAGAAAAATGTGTACCTGTATTTTTTTGGGTGCAGTGCCCTATAGATGTCTGTTAAGTCCATGAGTTCCATGTCTTTATTTAGGGCTTTAATGTTTTTGTTTATTTTTGGTTTGTTTATTCGTTGATCTGTCCATTGGTGAGAGTGGGCTGTTGAAGTCTCCCAGTATATCTGTATTTTCTTTAATTCTGTTTGCAGAGCAGTTAATAATTGTCTAATAAATTTGGTGCCCCTTCATTTGGTGAGTATATGTTGACAAGTGTTGTATCTTCCTGATGTATTGTCCCATTGATCATAATGTAGTATCTGTCTATGTCTCTTTTTACCTTTTTTAATTTGAAGTCTATTTCATCTGATAGAAGTATGGCTGCTCCTGCCTTCTTTTTTGGTCCATTTGCTTGTAGGATTGTTTTCCAAACGTTTACTTTCAATCTATGTTTACCTTTTGTGGCTAAATGTGTTTCCTGGAGACAGCAGAAGGTTGGATTTTGTTTTTTAATCCAGCCTGCTACTTTGTGTCTTTTTATTGATGTGTTCAATCCATTTACATTTACAGTTAATATTGGTATGTTGGCAAATGTGTTTGTCATTTTGTCTTTTCTGTGATTTTATTGCTTGCTTTATTCTGTTCTTCTTGTTCATTCCTCTGTTGATTTTGGCTTTAGGACTTCTTGTAGAATTTTTTGGAGTGGGGGTTTAGTTGTAATGACTTTCTGGAGTTTCTGTTTGTCTGAGAAGGTCCATATTTTTTTTCTTTATAGAGGAAGGAGAGATTTGCAGGGTAAAGTATTTTTGGTTGGCATTTGCTGTCTTGAAGTTTGCTGAATATGTTATTCCATCCTCTTCTTGCCCATATTTTTTTTCAGAGAAGTCTAAAGTTAACCTGATTGGTTTTCCCTTATAAGTTATCTGTTTTTTCCCCCTTGCCAGTTTCATTATTTTTGGCTTGTCTTGGACTCTTGCAAGCTTTACTATTAGGTGTCTTGCTGCAGTTTTCTTTTCATTGTGGTAATTGAGAGTTCTTCTCACTTCTTGTATGTTTATACTCATCTCCTTTTTCATGCTTGGGAAGGTTTCTTCAATTATCTTCTTGAATAATTTCTCAGTTCCTTTGTCTTTCTCCTCACCTTCCGGAATGCATATGACTCTTACATTTCCTCTCTTCATGGAGCCTGATAATTGTCTAAGAGACTCCTCATACTGCTTCATTTGCACTTCTCTCTCCTTTTCTCTTTTGGCTCTTTTTATTTCTGTATCTTCAATACCACTGATCTGTTCTTCCATTTCATTGATTCTGTTTTCATTGCTTTCCCCAGAGTTCTTTAGCTCCTCTAGTAATCTTTTCATCTCCTGCATTTCTTTTCTTTCATTTCTTAATATCTCAATTTCATTCTTAAGTTCAGTGATTATTTGTCTCAAATCATTTTTTTTTTCTTTTTGTTTTCTTTCTGCTTTTTAATCATGATGATCATTAATTCTCTATCTGATAGGCCGAGTTCTTCCATGTCATTGTTTAGCTCTGGTGACCTTATTTATTTTTGTGGTGTGTTCTCACTTGGTTATTTATATGTTTTCTTCTCCCTGTTGTTTGCTTTCTAATTAGTTCTATGCATTGGGACATTGTGCCACTGGTGTTGGCAGGCGTCACTCTGGAATGCTCCTTTAGGGGTGCTGGAAACTGTTTACCAGACTGAGACCAGCACTGGTAGGCCAAAACTCCACCTGGGTATTGATGCTGTGTTGCTGGGCACTGTCCCTTACAGTTCCCTCTGTCTGTATTTACTGTTCCAACAAGGAATAAACTAGTTGGTGATTTTGTTCTGGTCAGGAGATGGCGCCAGAGATCCGTACTTGCTGACCTGTGCTTTTTCCCAGTGGTTCTCTGAGAAATGGGGGGAGAGGGGTTACCAGGGTGAGCACCTCAACACAGGGGCTCTTATTCAAGCTGGGTGCTGTGTCAGCTCCGTGTTCACCCGGTGCTGTGCCCACAGGTGTATGGATTCCATTCCCTGACTTCTGCACTCTAGGTCTCAGTTGCAGGGCTATCAGATCCAAAATTCTGGCTGGCACCCTGTGCAGTGCCTGCTGTTATGGCACATCCCATGCCCCGGATCCTGCGGATGGCTCTCAGTTTTAAGATGGGATCTTGCTCTACCTCTTATTTCCCTTCTCAACCCCATTTGCGCTGCCCACCCTCTCTTGAAGCCTGAGGGTGTTTTTGGGATCCCTGGTTTCCAACTCTCAGAATGTTGGTGATTTTTTTCTGGTTACTAGGTGGCGCCAGAGATCTTTTCTAGTGTCCTTCCAGAACTGTCTTTCTCCCCCATGGGCCCAGGGGAACAGAGTGGGAGTGGTGTGGAGAGCCTCAAAGGCATGGGGGTGCAGGGTCTGCCCTGTGCCCCACTGTCGTGGAGATTCTGCACCCCGAAATTTGTGCCCTCAGTTCCGAAGCCCTCAGATCCAGGATGCGGGCTGTGGCCCAGTTTAGTATCCAGATATGGCAGCTTTTGCACCCTGCTCCCATGTCCAGGCGCTTGGTTTCTGATTACTCGGTGAGGGACATTCACCTCAAAGAGGGCTCCCGCGTATCTCCCCACAGGCACGGGGACCTGGGCAGCTGGGATCCGCAATCTGCATATTCTTTTCAAGTGCACTGCTTTTCTGCACAAGCTTATGGGCTGGTTTTGGGCTATTTATAGGTCTCCACGGAGTCCTTATCTTCCTCTAATGGCTCAAGAGCCATTCACTCACCTCCGCAGTGATTCCTGCCCAATTTTTCACAATTCCAGTTCACAGGGTGCAGTGCCTGAAATAGTTCCTTTCCACTCACAGTCCGACTTGATGTGTAGTTTGTTCTTGTTGGTTGTTTTTGCTTGTTTGTTTGTTTTCCTCCTTTCTGTTGGTCGGAGAGTGCTGACTTTGTGGGTGGGGGAGGGTAGCCAGGTTCTGAGCTTTCCTCCCTTCTTGTCCTATTATGAAAACTTTCTTCTTCATGCAGTTTGCCAGTCACCCGTTTATCTTCCATTTCTCAGTTCTCACAGGGACCAGCCATTTTTCCTCCCTATTAACTTTTTTTTTTTTAATGTGAGGACTTACTCGCAGCATTTCCCCTCTGCCATGTTGATCTCTCTCTGTTGCATTCTTTGACATTGTGCTGGCAATGCACAGATAGGATGAATGGTGAGTAGGGGGCGACTTTTCCTCCTGGTGGGAAGATGAGCTCATAACTATTGCCTTAAGAAAGCTGAGGAGGAGTCCTCTGCTAGAGCAAGGAAGGAGGGGAGTGTACAAACAGACCTATTAGGAAGGAATGAGTGACCTCATGGAAAGAAGGGTCCTGACACTTCCCCGCCCCTTTCCTGCTATCAGCATCAGCATTTATTTTCTTCTGTTTTCACAGGAACTTTGTGCTGAATGGTTCTCTAAAGGGCATTTTTTTTTTATTTTAAATGCAGTGTTTCACAAACAGGCCCCATGGGTTTCCAAACCTAAAAGGAGGTCAGGCTCCTGCCATAGAAGCTTTGATCTTCATATAGCTCCTCATTTCTTCATCTTCAGTTACCTTCAGTGTAATAATGTGTGTTCAAAAAGCTATATCCAATGACACTTAAAACCCACTGAGATGTCCCATGTCTAGCTTAAAGTAGCTCTCAATTTAGGAGATTCTTACACTGCAGATTAAATATCACACCACAAAGTCTGTCGAGGTCCATGCCTCCTGATTGTGAATAAGCATAGGATGGTCCTTCCCTTTGGATTTTGCCGTTTTGTCTTTAGGCCAGATGGTCTGAGGTGTTTAGGGAATAAAACAGATTACGGTGGCAGTAGATAAAATAATTTCATCTCTTACTCATAGACACTGTCTCTGTAAGAAGTGGCAATAGTCTGTGCAGGCCCGAGGCTGGAGATGGCCAAGAAAATTGGTGATGGGGAGAGAGTAAGCTTTGAGGATGATATTAGGGAGGTCGACTACTTCTGCTCTTTTTAAAAGACACATATAGAGTTATTGTCTCTATTCTTCTGAACAGATAATTTAGGTACTTCAAAACTTTGTTCAGAATGTGCATACAATGACTTTCCAGCAGAGCTGAACCTGGAATCGCCATAGTAATCTACAAGGAAATGTGTCCTTTTTTATTGTTTAAATAAATTGTATTCTTATATTCCCCATACAATTGCAACCCCCTTATTTTGACCCCAATCCCTACCCTCCCTGCCCCCCACCCTCCATATAGTGTCTCTCCTTCATAGTTTATTGTTGATTTTGATTTTCACTTTCTTATAGTTATTCATTTTCCTGGTCCCTTATTTAAGTTTTCTAGATGCCTGCTATGAGTGAGGCCATCCGGTATTTTTCTTTTTCTTTCTGGCTTATTTCGCTGAGCATGATCCCTTCCAGCTCCATCCATGTTGCTGCAAATTGCTTGTGTTTATCTTTTTTGAATGCTGAGTAATATTCCATGGTGTATATGTACCACATCTTCTTGATCCAGTCATCTATTTTTGGGCATTTGGGTTGTTTCCAAAGCTTAGCTATTGTAAACAGTGCTGCTATAAACATAGGGGTGCAGGTGCTCTTTGGAATTGATGTTTCTGTGTCCTTTGGGTAAATACCTAGGAGTGGGATTGCTGGATCATATGGAAGCTCTATCTTTAGTAGGTTGAGGAATCTCCTCACAGCTTTCCATAGTGTTTGGACCAGTTTACACTCCCAAAAGCAGTGCAGGGGAGTTCCTTTATTTCCACATCCTCGCCAAAGTTTGTTGTTGCTAGTTTTTTTTAATATGTGCCATCTCACTGGTATGAGATGGTATCTTATTGTAGTTTTGATTTGCATTTCCCTGATTGCAAGTGACATTGAACATTTTTACATATGCCTGGTTACATCCAATTTTTATAGTTTAAAATAAACATGACAACAGTTCCTAATTTAGTAAAAATATTTTAATGTAGGACTAATTAATTTTTTTAGGGATATTATAAAGAACAGCTTGGGATGAGATTTCCAAATCAAGGAAACATGCATTTGTTTTCAGTTTATCAACTATGCTTAACAGAGCATTTTTACCAGACTGGATAGGGGCAGTCAAGAATTCTGTCATTGGGCGCTGATTTGTTAGTGGATATTCCAACAAATCTTCAAAAAATGGTTAAGAATACTGGAATAAAAACTAGGCCATGAATAGCCCCCAATACCATGACAAGAAACATAATCTTAAAACATGTCCTGAAGATGTATGTGTTAGCTGCAGATAAAACAGACACTCCTATTATTGTTGACAGTGCACTTTGTAACACTGCGTAACCTAGCAAAAACAATGTCTCAATTGCTTTTTGGTTTGCTGAGGGTTTAGAACTGGAAACAAATGCATATGAAATATGTGCACAAAAATCAAAAGAAAACCCTATACAAATCACAAGATTCATCATGGATACGGAATCAAGGTTGACATGCCAGAATCCCATGAAACCTGTTATTCCTACAATCACAGAGCCAATAGAAAAAGTGACCCACAAGGAACACAATGGGTGGGGAATTAACAATAAAGAAACAATGAACATAGCTGTGGTTGCAACAATGACACTTCGAATAGTGTTTTCTAAGATTGCAGAATATTGATCAAAATAGATAAAAGCTGGGTTATACACCATTAGGGGAATCTCACACCTTTTGTCAATACTTCGTAATTGGAATAACATGTTCTTCTTACTGCAAGAAGAAGAAACACCCGTGGTCTGAATGAAGGCCCGGGATGAAGTAATCTCATGTGATGACGAAATATTAATATCATATGTAAAAATTGGAATATGCACTAAAAAACCAGGAATGTTGTTTATAAAACTATCTTTGTCATTTACAGCTAAGTTGTTGGCTTCCATATACTGTATATATGCTTGTAACCAAAACTGTGTTAGATTTTGAATGACATAATCACTGTTTTCAAAAGCAGTCAGACATTTCCCCAATGTTTGCCTAGTGTCTTTATCCCAGTAGTCAACTGCTTCAGTCATGATAACCATCACGATGGGAACATAATCTGAAAAATGCTCTTCATGGATGTTAAAATAGGGTGTGATATAGGAATCGTCACTTGCCAGATGTCGAAGGTCTAAACCTTCCTGCACTTGGAAACAGCCATATATACTGAATGCAATGTACAGAAGGTATAAAACTACTATCACAAACTTGGACTTAGTGTTTGTGAGAAAGGGGCCAAAATAATCTCTAAAGAACAAGTTCATTGGATGTATGTTCAATTCTTCATCAGTTCGAAGAGAACTAAATGGGAGGCAGCAGCACCTTATCAGCGAGGAAGAATTTTGGTCCGGGTTTCCCTCTGACCTTTGCAGCCAGCGCAGACAGGCCGCTTCTCTCCTACCATCTAGGGCCATAGAGGCGCCAAAACAGATGATGTTATAAAAATAACAGAAGAGCAAGGTTGTCCCCGTGTAAATGCAAAAGTACTGCACGGACTTAAAGGAGGTCATTACCCCTGTAAAGAAGGCCAGGACATTTGTGAGAGTGGTGATGGTGATGGACACCGCCACTTGGGAGTAGACGTCAGACATTCGCTGTTGTACGCTGTCCATGATGTTGGTCTTCTGCCAGGCAGAAATCATGATAAACATGTCATCAATGCCAACACCTGTTAAAAAAAAACTTAATGCATATTCATATCCATAAAAGTGTAAATAGCATAATTCAAAAGTTTTCCCCCTTTTTCTACTTTGAATGAAGAAACATTGTTTTACATCCTTGTTGAGTTTTTGACAGTCTAGGATTTCTCCCCTCAGGTGTGGCCACCTTCGCTCTCCCAGCACCAGCGCACCCGTGGTCCTCCACCAGAGTTCTTGTGCTCTCCTCCCTGTCCCCCTCTGCTTCCTGCCTGTCTCAGCTCCAGGTCAGCTTTCCAGTGTTTCTTTGAAAGTTTGTCTTTGTCTGACCCTTTGTCTAGTTTCCCTATATTCTACATCTAAGTGAAATGATCCTTTGTCCCTTAAGGTCTTATTCTTTGGTCCTTCAGGTTTTATTAATCTCGCAGTATCTGTGCTTAGGTAACACTCTCCTTGGTTGTCTCTGAGTCCACAACAGAGCACACTACTCTCTCTGTAATAAGCTTGTGCTTTGCACGGATTGCTATTATTTACACACAGCACAGTATACTCCACCTCTCCAATTATGGTGCCTCGGTGTTGAGATCAGGAAACCTGGTGGATGTGTGTTAGTTCAAGCAGGATTAGCAATCTGTTTCTGATTCCACTGGATTACTTGAGAGACCATTTTCTCTCATAAGCCATTTCACAGAAATGCATAAACACTTTCAGCCAATATTCTGTTACTGAACCTATCTGACCACCAACAGCATCAGTCTATCTTTGCGGTATGACTTGAGAGGCACGGCGTCATTTACAGGCACACTCAAGCTAGTTTTACTGCTACTCTGTTTTTGATATCCAGATAATGTCATTCGAACTTCCCAAGCTGAATCTAGCAAGATGGCCTCACCTTCTCCAGATACCACAACTAGATTGCAATAGAGCAAGGCCCAAAACCCCTGAAGGAAAAACAGTCCTCCACAGCATATCTGAGGAGCAGCAGTCCCAAGGAAGGGAAAACATGAAGCAAACTCTGTGTAGTGAGATTGGGGCAGCACAACTCGTGGCTGGTGGGCACATGCTATGCAACAACCCCTACAGTTGGGCCTCCCTGGTGGCGCAAGGGGATGAGACACAGCCTGGGAAGCAATCCTCAGACTCTGCAGCACGAGTTCGATGCCCTGGCTGGCCAGGGAGCAACCCACATGGCGAGCAGACATCTCCTGACTCGCTCGCTGCTCCCCTCATCAGTGTATTTCAGTCAGTGATAATCCTCTCATGCTCCCTCTCCTCTGGCCTGTACCCCAGCTCTTGTATGCATAAATAAATAAATCTTAAAAAAAGGAAACCCCTACAGTTGTGGTTTTGACACACAGCAATACCAGGGACTCCTGACACCTGGCAATGCACTGAATAAGGGAGTCAGCAAGTTGACAGCCAGGAACTGGAAAGCTTTGGGGTGGTAGTTCAGCATGAGCATTACTGGCTTGAGTGGAGGCTCACAGTATAGAACAGCTGGATCCTGACCTCTCAACAGGGAGAGCTGAGTCAGGTCACCTGTGTCTCCCCATAGGAAAGGCTACTACTCGAGACTGGGATATTCAGAGAAATCGCCACCCGAACATGTGGCTAAACCCAAAACAACAAAGGAATCCTGGTAAACTAGAGCTCAGTGCCTACTAATGACAGGCACTCACACCCCAGGATAAGGCTTTGAGTGTCAAAAGAGAAGAGAACTCCCTGCCTGTGAGCCCATGTCAGCTGCAATCTGTGCCCAGTGCTCAAGCTCAAGCTCAAGCATTCAAGAACAGCTTAGCGTGAGCATGAAGCCATGAAGGACATTAAGGCTGAGAAGTGGGCAAAGAAGTGGGGAGCACTTCCCAGCACCACCTCTGGTATCCACAGCACAGTAGGAAGCTTGAATTCCTGGCATTCATTGGGGTGATTCTTTGGTGCCCCACTGCCTTGGCACTCACTGTACCTTCTGCCCCTCATAAGCACCAGTTCTCTCGTTACTTCAACAGGGGAAAAGACAACGATTTGAAAGTCTATCCCTACTACAACCCATCAAAATTAAAAACGAGGGGACAGACGAACAGATCACAAATGTTGGAGGGAAAAACGAAAGATGGGAGCCCCATTCCAGCAAACTGCAGCACATGATTGACACAGATTTAGGGCAACAGTTCTAACAAAGCCATGGAACTCCAATAACAGAGAACATGAGCCAGCACGAGAATACAAACAAAGCAATATGAGGTGGCTACAGTTAGAAACCACAGAAGTCTGAAACACTATAACTGAATGAAAAACATCCATTGAAGGCCTCAGTAGCAGACAAACAGAAGCAATGGAAAGAATCGATGAGCTCGAGAAACACCATGTTGACGAACACACAATAGAACAATGCAGGAAAAAAGGAATTTGAAAAAGGATATCATGTTTTCCTTTCGGGAAAACAGAAATCACATCCATCTCATATGGGTCCTAGAAGTAACAAAAATAAAGGCATAGAAAGTTCACTTAAAAAACAATGTCAAAGGGCCAAATTGGCAGCAGAGTAAAGATGCTGGGCTCACCCTCTCCATGTGTTCAAACTAGATTGCAACAGAACAAGGCCAATGACTCCTGAAGGAAAAACAGACAATTACAGCACAAGTTAAGTGCCCATCCAGAGGAGGGAGACCCCAGCAAGCAGTGGAACAGGCCAAGCAGGTAGCCTGCCTAGGCAGTGAGGTGAGCCCCAGTGGCCTGGCAGAACTGGCAATGTGCTTACACAGAAACATTTGGCAGACCTCAGCAAGCCTCCAGACTGGGTCCTGAAGCACACCCACCACCCAGGCCCCCAGACAGTGGTGCAGATCTGTGAGCTCAGCAGTGGCTCATGGAAGCAGCCCAATTGACAGCAGGCCTTGGCAGTTCTCAGTGAGCCAGGGCAGGACTGGAAGCGGACCAGCCACAGCAGGCATTGGTGCAGACATCAGTGATCTCTAGTAGGGGGGCAGGAGGCAGACCTGGAAGTAGCCCTTGGCAGACCTCAGGGCCTGGAAGCAAATCCACCAAGGTAGGTCCCCTGCTGAAGTTGACCTATGTCAAGATGCTCAGTAAGGAAACTAGAAAGAGTTCAAGGCAAAGACAGAACGAAGAAGGCAGTCAGGCAGAAAAAAAGCAGATAACCTGTAAAAGTACCCTCTTCAGGCTTACGTCTGAATTCTCTGAGGAAATTCAACCAGTGAGGAGAGAATGGAATAATGTATTCTAAACACTCAAAGATCAAAACTGCCAGCCAAGAATATATATCCTGCAACACTCTCGTTCAGATGTGAGGGAGAAAATAAGGACTTCCCAGACAAATGAAAGCAGGAGTTTGCTATCACTAGACTTCCTCCTCAAGAAATATTGAAAAGAGAACTCCTATCTGAATTTCACATGAGAAAAATCACAAGAAACTATACTATAGAAGAGAAAACTAAAGACACAATTACAGTAGCTAATACCTTTATATCAATAATCACTAAGTATGAATGGAATGAACTTGCCAAGCAAAAGGCACAGAAAGGATGGTTGGATCTGAAAACAAATCCAACTTCTTGTTGTCTCCAGGAGACCTATGTGAGTTCAGAAGATAAACAGATTCAAAGCAAATGGCTGGGAAAAAATCCTGCAAGTGAATGGGACCCTCAAAAAGGCAGAGACAGACATATTTCATCAGACAAAGAAAAACCCTTGCAGTTAAAAATGGGACCAAGAGGCAGAATGGTCATTGCATAGTGATTAATGGAACAACACATCAGGAAAGGATCGATATACCATCAGTATACATGCAGCAAACAAAGGTGCACCCAAATATATAAGACAACTATTTGACAAACTTAAAAACAGACATTGACCACAACACAATGATGGTAGAAGACTTTGACACCCCACTTACTTCAAAGACAGATCAACCAGAGGGAAAATCGACAAGGAAACAATAGCCTTAAGTGAGCAATAAACCACTTGAGCAGACCAGACATTTATGGAGAACGACACTCCCCAAAAGCTGAGCACACATTCTTCTGAAGGTCACATGGAACATTTTCCAGAGTGGATCACATGTTGGATCATAAAACAAGTGTGAATAAATTCATGAAGTTTGAAATCATTGTCAGGCACCTTTTCTGATCACAATGATATCAAATAGAAATCAAGCACAAAAGGAAGGTGGGAAAAACCCTGAGTAGGTGGTGACTATACAGCACCACACTAATGACTATTGGGTTAATGAGGAAATCAAAGAAGAAATTTAAAAAACACCTGGAGACAATGGAAAATGAAGACACAACCTATCAGAACCTCTGGCCAGGAGCAAGAACAGTTCCAAAAGGGAAGTACACAACAACACAGGCACACATCAAGAAATAAGAAAGAACTCAAATAAATAACAAAGAACTCAAATAAATATGCTAACATTACCTGAAAGAATTAGCAAAAAAGCTAGCTGAAGGAAGGAAATAATAAAAAGCACAGTGGAAATAAATGACATAGAATTTAAAATGACAGTTTAAAAAAGTCATTGAGGGCCTCCCTGATGGTGCAAGGGTAAGACACAACCTATGAAGTTATCTGCAGCCACTGGGCCACGGGTTCGATCCTTGACCAGGGAGCTGCACACATTTTGCAGCAGATATCTCCTGACTTGCCTGCTGTTCCCCTCAGCAGTGTATTTCAGTCAGTTTGCCTGTTCTGTTCCCCGCTCTGTCTCTGGTGAATCCTCTCATCCCCCCCATACCTCTGTCCTGTACTCCCCACCTTGTATGCATAAATAAATAAATGTTAAAAAAAAGTCTTTTAATTTAAAAAATCAATGAAATGAGTAGCTGGAACTTAGGGAAAAAATAAGATAGAAAACTTCTAGCTAGACTCAGTAAGAAAAAAACTCTTAGTATAAGGGGGTAGAAGGAACATATCTCCACAGATAAAAGGCATCTATACCACACCCACAGGTAACATATTCAGGGAGAGAATAGGATAAGATTTCAGATACACAACAATGATGTGCACTATCACCACCTATGTTCAAAATAGTATTGGAGGTACTAGAGCTATTAGGCAAGAGAGGGATATAAAAGGAACCCAAACTGGAAACATAGAAGTCAAACTATCACTATTTATAGATGACATGACAATACATATAGAAAAACCTAAACACTACATTTTACAAAATATTCGAACAATCAGGGAAGTGAGAGACTGCAAAATCAACATGCAAAATTCTGTTGAATTCCTATATGCAAATAATGAACTAGAAGAGAAAGCCCTCAGGAAAACAATCTCATTTACAATAACATCGAAAAGTATTAAATACCTAGAAATAAACCTAACAAAAGAGGTGAATGATCTAAGAAGAGGTGGCACATATACACAATGGAATATTACTCAGCAATCAAAAAAGATAAACGCATGCCATTTGCAGCGACATGGATGGATCTAGAAGGAATTTGCTCAGTGAAATGAGCCAGAAGGAAAAAGAAAAATATTGGATAGTTTCACTTAAAGCAGGAATATAGGGGAACCCATTAAGACATCAGCATAAAAAAATAATAACAGCACAAAACACAACACAATAAAGACAATACTATAAATCAGAGACATCCTGCAGGGGAGGAGGAAGGAGAGGGATCAGAGGGAGGGAGGAGCACTGGGGACTGAGGTGATGGTGCACGAGTGCATTGGGGAAGGAAACTCTATGGGGACTGCACATGAGGGGCTGGGGGAAGCAAATATTGTTCAAAAATGAGCAATGATGTAAAAAATTAAAAAAATATAAGAAATAAAAGTAAAAAAAATTAAGAGGTGAATGATCAATTCAATGAAAATGATAAGGTATTGCTAAAAGTAATAGAAGAAGATGCAAGAAAATAGAAAGATATTCCCCGCTCATGGATTGCAAGAATTAATATTGTTAACATGTACACCTTCTCCAAAGTAAGACAGATAGAGATGAAATGGAATTCCTATCAAAGTTCTAATGGAATTTTTCAAAGAAATAGAGCAAATTTAATTGAAATTTATATAGAGCCAGAAAAGACCCCAAATAGTCAAAGCAATATTGACCAAAAAACATATTGGAATTAAAACAGACACACAGACCAATGGTATAGAAATGACAGCCCAGAAATAAACCCATAATTTTATGAACAGTTAATGTACAAAACAGGAGTCAAGAGTACACAATGGAAAAACGAAGTTCTCTTCAACAAACGGTACTGCAAAACTGGGTAGCCACAAGTAGAAAAAAGAACTAGACCACTCTCTCCTACCATACACAAAAAATAACTCAAAGTGGATTAAAGGTTTGGATGTAAGATCTGCAGTCATATAATATATAAAAGGAACCAGGCAAAATACGCCATAATATTGGCTTCATGGTTGTCTTTGGGGATTTGACTCCAACTTCAAGGAGACAAAAGCAAAAATAAACAAATGATACTACACAAATTAAAAGGCATCTGCCCAGCGAAAGGAAGTCTCATCAAAATGAAATGACACCCTACTGAATGGGAGAATACATTTGCACATCACACACCTGCCAAGTAGCTAATATCTAAGATCTACAAGGGACTCAGACAACACAACCAAATGAAAACAAGCCAATCAAAAATGCACAGGAGAGCTAAATAGACACTTCTCCAAAGACGACACACAGATGGCCAGCAGGCACATGAAGAAAATGTTCAACATCATGTATCATCATGGAAAGGCAAATCAAAAGCAGAGGGATGTACCACCTCACTCCAGTGAGAATGGTCTACATGTGTATCTAACAGAAACCACAGAGGTTGGTTAGGATAAAGAGAAAAAAGAACCCTAGTACTTTCTTGGTGGAAATATAAAGGTTTCCTAGGTTTGAATTCACCAATCTCATGTGGATATGGTAGATTGGTTTTAATTATGTTTTCAATTCTCAATCACACTGAAATGAACATACTTACTCTACTTTTTGGAGCACTTTTTTCAATTATTAGGACAAATTCCTAGAAGTAGAATGGAGAGGTGAAAGACATGCACCTTGAATCCCCTTGTAAGCCTTTTGATTTGATACAAAAATTGGACTAAGTATGAGCCAATTCATAATCTTCTCCAAGCAGCAGATGACAGGGTACATTACATACAACCACCCCAAAAGCTTCAGTCTCGCAATATTTATTATTCTAATAAGAAAACAAGGCGTCTAAGTTTTGGTTTAATTTGCATCCCTTGATTGAGAGGTCATATATTTTCCCCCTTACATTTTCAGTGTATTGTATTTTCCCTTTTCAGGGTTGTGTGTGTGTGTGTGTGTGTGTGAGTGTGTGTGTCTGTGTGTGTGTGAGAGAGAGAGAGAGAGAGAGAGAGAGAGAGAGAGAGAGAGAGAGAGAGAGAGAGAGAGAGAACTGCCTGCTCATGTCCTTCTCTTTACTTTTCCATTGGGGTCCTTAATTTTTCCAGTTCTGTAGACACAATGTAATGTTTATCTCAATTTCTGACACCTTATTTTTGATCTGTAGTCATCTAAGCACAGTTCTTTTACTTAATCTATCATTAACTCTGTTACCTACTTTCTCCCAAACACACACATAGTGTAGCCTCACATTTGTTTTACTCACCTAGTATTAGAAATGGTGCATTTGCAACTATTGTCACAAATGGCACCCCCACGTACAACATGAGGCCAAAGCCACTCACCACTGCCAAGGTAACAGAAATCACTCCAACGACTGCAATAAACATTTTGTTTCATATACAGCTAAACCTGTAAATAGGGAGGGAAAAATGATGAATTTTTGGCAGCAGCTTCCATAATCAAATTCCATCAATTCATGACATTCTTGATTTGGACCTGTTCTGAAATCTCTTCTGCGACCATTCTACACCTGTCTCCTGGAGACCTTTAATTCCAATGCACTATCCCAGACCCACTACACCAATTCAAAGAGGGACAATAAAAGTTGGCATTTTGTGCTTTAACTTAACTATCTTCTAATGCAGCTGCCCAAGCACTAATTCCCTGATGGTGTTTCAGAACCACATACATGTACTGGAGCACAGCAGATGGTTAATTCCACTCTAGTGTTCAAGGAGTTGTGTGTGAATAGAACACAACACCAAAGGGCAGGCAGCTGTAGTTGATAAAGTACCCACATCCAATTATCTTTGCACTCATTTCCTGATTCCAACTAGCTACAACACCAAACTAAAGGGTTCCTGTACAACAGAGATAGTATGTGGTTAATAAAATGCATGAAAGCATCCTGCTAAAACAGTTTCAAGATTCTCCTTTATTAATGAAGTGGGTTCTAGAAAAGTTGCTATTTATTGCAAAAAAAAAATGTTTTGAAATGTACTGTTTTGGTATCAACAAAAGACTTTTCTGTTTCTCTGTTTGACCACCAGAAATGGGAATATAGAGAGAGCATTTGAAAGCATGTATGCAGTACTTTGCCTCCACAATAACTACATTACATTTTAAAATATTGACAACCACCTGTGGTTTTATATTTTAATTTTATGTGAGCAGTTTTAAAACAAATGATGGATAAAAGTCTCTTTGGACTTCTATAGGAAAAGGAAACTAAGTTTGAGGACTAGGAGAGACAACTAAGGAAATGGAGCTACTGATTCCAAAACAGAATGTGACAAAAAGACTTTTTCAGACCATATTCACATAGCAAAACTTTCTTTTTATTAAAAGGTTTCTGCACCATTGATGTGTTTCACTTTTTATCAAACTGCTGGTGCCTTGAGTTAAATTTAGTGTCCCAAATACACACACAAAAACACACACGAATTTCAGAGAAAAAGTAAATCGCTTGGTTACAATAAATTTGAATGTAATGAATATTTTCCTTTTGCAATACTTCTTGAAAACAATATTTATAAATATTTAAGATAAGAACATAACAAAGATAAACTTCAAATGCAAAAAGATTAGTCAGAGCTACACAGGACATGTTTAGTCTCAATCCCTTTTACAAGTTTCTGCATTTTCATGTAAAATTTTTAGACACTGATGTAGGAAGGTAAATTTTTGGCTACAGTGACTTTAATTTGACTAGTTGTGCTGATGTTCTCTAAGCAACTGTTAATAATTGTAAGTGAAGGAAAGATATGAAAATGGACACTGTAGGAGACTGATGAATACACTTGCAGATATTCTAGAACTCTACAAGAAACTTGATAGAAGCAGTTTATCAAAATGATCGAGAATGATCGAACTTTAGATTTCCTATGACCAGGGATCAACAGATCTTCACTCAGTAGGTTTACAATGAAGCTGCAGAATAATTGTGTCTAAAATTTTCCTCACACGATTCCAATGGTCACTCAAATTGAGGCATCCCTGGCAGCAAAATGGCCAATTTTCTGAACATTCTAATAACTTGACAGCATCGGACTGAATTGGAAATGATTACACTTAGAAAACTGTATGTTCAGGGAGGAGGCCACATCTTTCTAAAAGATAACGATGTCTATTAAACAGAAGTACAATTAAAATATATTTGAGAGGAGAAAGATTTTCCAGATTTTATCAGAAATTGATCTAATAGTTGGCATAATAAGTTTTGTCATTTCTAAAATGCCAAATTTGAAATAGACTACAAAATCAATATACCACTACTTGCCATAGAATGGTGTTCAATTTGGAAATACTCTCTTGGGAAGGTCTTACTGTTGTCCAAATGATTTCATTCCAAGCCAAAAAATATGGAATGATCAAATGTGTTGAATCTCTGAGCTAAACAAACATAAGATAGTCGTATTGATAACAGAGAGTGGGAGGGCGAGATGTCAAAAGAATCTACAAAAGCACTAGCAGGAAAATCAGTTACATATATTCAAGTCCAAGGAAGGCAAGTATTAGGACTATACTCAGCACCTGTGCCGACAGAAATTTCCTGGTCCTTTTCCTCTTTGTATGTGCTCCAACCCAGGAAGTAGTTTTGCAATATTGAAAGGAGGAAGGCATACTAGACAAATACTATGAGAAACGCCGTCTTAAATATGCTCAGAATGCTAAAGGAGAACACTGACAAGGAAAGCAATAAATGAATGAAATAATAATATACATCGAAAAATTTAAAAGGAACCAAACTGAATTTCTGGAGCTGAAAAGCTAAAAAAACAACCAACAAACATATACAACACAAACAAGTGAAACTTAGAGATGCTGACCAGATTTAGCATTGTGCTGGAATTGCTCGCCAGAGCCATTTGTCAAGGAAGAGAATAAAAAGAATTCAAGCTGGAAAGTAAGAAATATAAGTATCCTGTTTCAGAGATTACATAATCACAGATATGAAAATTCCAAAGCATCCACAAGAAAACTACTAGTTACAAAAAATTCAACAAATCTACAAGATACAAGAACAACTTATAAACATCAGCTCTGTTTCTATTTACGTGCAAAGAGCAATTGCAAAGGAAATTAAGAAAGCAATTCTATTTAAATAGTATCTAAAAGAAGAAAATACTTAAGAATACATTTGACCAAGAAGGTAATAGATGTGTATACTGAAAATTATAAAACACTGGTGAAAGAAACTAAAGAAACCCTAATTTAATAGAAATACATCCTTAGTTGATGTGAAGGATTAATGCTGTTAAAATGTCAGTCACCCAGCAATCTACTGATTCAACTCAATTTCTATTGAAATTACAATTTCCTTTTTTCTTTTTCAGAAATGGAAGAGCCAACCCTCAAATTCACTTGAAATTGCAAGGAGCCCAGGATATCCAAAACAATATTGAAAAAGAAGAAAAAGTTGCAGGACTGAGATTTCCAGATTTCAAAACTTACAACAAATTACTGTAATTAAAACAATGTGGGGACCTCCCCGGTGGCACAGCAGTTGATCACTGGCTTGTGAAGCTGCCCGCAGCTTATGCAGCGCCAGTTCGATCCCTGGCCGCTGGGCAAGGGTCGCACATGGCACACAGAACTCTCGTGCCACCTGCTGCTCCCCTCAGCAGTGTATTTTGTCAGTCTGCCTGTTCCGTTCCCCTATCTGGCTCTGGTGAATTCTCTCGCCCTCCCACACTTCTGACTGTACCCAGTGCTGGTATAAATAAAATGAATAAATCTTAAAAAAAAAAAAATGTGGTACTAGCATGCAAATAAACATACAGACTAATAGTATAGAATTGGGAGTCCAGAAATAATCCATAAATATAGCCAGTTGATTGACAAGTGTAGTAAGTCTAACAAACTGGAAAAGTCTCTTCAATAAATGGTTCTTGGAAAACTAGATCTTCACATACACAAGGATGATGCTGGGACCTTAACTAAATACCATAAACAGAACTGAATTAGACATTGATCAATAATCTAAATAAAACAGTTAAAATCATAAAACCTTGTAGAGGGAAACACAGATTCGGTGTGCATGACCTTGGACTTGTCAATGTACACTTAGATATAATACCAAAAATACAAGTACCAAAAAAATTAGATATGTTGGATTTCATAAAAAAATAAAAAAATGTTAATTGTTACAGGCCATTGTCAAGAAAGTGAAGAGACAGTCTATAAAGAGGAAGAAAATATCAGCAAGTCATATAGCTGAGAAGTGGCTTAATAACTGAAATATGCAAAGTGCTAAGGAAAAACTTGAATCAACAACAAAAGGTCAAACAACTCAATTATAAGAAGGGCAAAGGACTTGGATAGACATTTCTCCAAAGAGGATATACAAGAGGACACTAAACAATTGAAAAGACTATGAACATGATCAGATATTTACAGAAATGCGAATCATCACAATGAGATACCACTTGACACCAACTAAGACAGGTAAAATCCAAAAAAGGGAAAAGAATGAGTGTTGGTTTATAGGGAGAGTGTGTAAAAACTGGAGCCCCTATCTACTGCTGGTGGGATCGAAAAGGGTGTAGACTCTGGAAAACAGTGTGATGGTTCTTCAAATAGCTGACTATGGAATTCTCATGCAACCCTCCAATTCCACCTGTAAATGATTCTCTTAACATGAGCACACCATGTTCCTTGCAGTGTTACGATTGTCATGAGATGGGAATATTCCAAGTGCCCACAAAAGACCGTGGGTAACCAAATTGTGGAGCACACATACAATGGAGCACAGAGCCATCGAGTAGAATGAAGATGTCACATGTGCACAAGGAAAAACCCTGGAAGCATTATGATTAGTGAAATAAGTCAGTCACAAAAAAATGTATGATTCCATTGACATGAAAATCTAAGAAAGGCAAATTCATAGAAAGAATAGAGTCAAGGTTAATCAGGACTGGAGGAGAGAAGGGCAGCAGGAGCCACTGCTCACTGGTCACAGAGTTCCTCCTTCGGGTTATGAAAGATATTTGGAAACAGTCACAACAGTACGCAGCCGTGGGGATGTGACTGATGCCAGTGAACTGTACACTTAAAATGGTTAGAATGGCACATGTTACATTAAATGTCTTACAACAAATATTTTTAAGTTTAAAAACTAATAAAAGGTTTTTTTTTTTTTTTACCTGTAGCATGATATGATTGCAAATAATATGATCAGAAGGTATGCCGTGTAAAACAAAGGGACAACTGTCCTAGCAGTCGCCTCAAATTCCAGTTTCCTAGAGAGTGATGTGAAGTAGACCACCTGTCGCAAAAATACATTCAGGTAAAATAACTTTTAATTCCAATATTTGTGTATGAGTGACAAGATCTATCAAAATATTATAGCTTATTGATTAAAACATGTTACAGTTCAGTAAAAGATTAAAATAGTGTGAATTATGATTTTAGAATAAAGGTAATAAAAAATGTTCCCCACCAACACATGGCATGCTTTCTAAGATTCCTTTCAAAAATCCAATGTTTAATATTCCTGAGTATACAAATTCTCAATTTTCTCTAATACTGTGTAATCACTGATAACTGTCAAAATTTTGGCTTTTTTTAAATGACGAGTAGGTTGCTGTTTTTTGCTGTTTAATAAGAAAGTATAATTTCAGCAAGGCCTGGTATCCAAAGCCTTTTCCCAGCGGGTGTCTCTCACCAGGCCTTGCCAAAAGTGTTAGCAGGTTTGCTCATCATCTAAGGTGCCTGGCAGGATGCTAGAAAATACTTGAGAAATCTGAGCTAGTCGTGTTTTTCAAAAACGCCAGGGAACTTCAGCTTAAAGGTTTGTTTTTTATTCCAGTGACACCAAGCAAGTTTTGGGGGGTTCCAGAAACAGTGCAGACGTGAAGTGAGAACATTCTGGCTAGAAAACCAAAAGGAACCCTGAAGATCAATGTCTGCTCTGAACACGCCCACCCCTGGGGTGTAAAATGAGTGTTTCCCACTAGAATGTGACCCAGTATCTAGGCTGGTGGCTTCCCTTGGTGTCCCTTGAAGAAAGCTGGCTTAAGCTTCAAAGAGAGTGGAGCAGACCCGGTTCCACATTAAGGCCTCCACCAAGTAGCCAGGCGTGGAAAATACGTGGACAGTTCTTATCCCTCCCACCTTCTCCTCCCTCTAAACCCAGTCCAAGGCACCTGGATGTTCTTCAGGGTCAGGCACTTTTCAATGGCATGAATTTGGTCCAGGAACTCCAGCAGCCACTTCTGGCTGCGTGCGCTGTCCTCGGGGTCTGCGGTCTTCAGGTAGTACTGCAGCCACATGGCCTTGGCTTGCAGGAGTAACCGGCTAATCCCCGAGCCGGGACCTAGCATGGTTCCTCCTAAGAGGCCGGCCAAGTAGAGGGAAACAGCGGAGGTGTTGTAAATAGGGAAGGTGATGCTTTTCAGGTCCATGTTGTTATTCTTCTGCCAGGTGAACAGGAGTGGGTTGGAGGGCAAGCAGGTGCTCTGGTACCTGGCACACACCTGAGGGTAGAGGACCTGGGTTCCATCTCCCAGGGGCGCGGTCAACATCTGCACCGCCTTGTCCAGTTGACTAATTTCTGAGAAGATGACTTGATCCAGCAGATTGGTAGTGTTGGAGACCACCAGGATGGAGGCAAAGTTGACCTCCCTGCTGGACTGCAACGGGGAGAAGAGGTACAACTCGTTGGTGGAGAAATGTGCCTGCACGAAGTGCCGTTCGGCCTTGGCTGGGCTGCCCAAAGGGGTGTAGTGCTCCTCCAGGTTCTCTTCCATCTCCCTGGGCAGGTACATGAAACCGGTGCTCAGGACTGCCGTCAGCACCAGGGGCGCCAGCAGGAAGAGCCAGGGGTGCGAGCCCACAGCCAGCCCCATCCTCTGGAATCCCCAGGCGAGGGGCTGCTCTAGGCAGTTGGTGTGGCAGCGGGGCCTCCCAGGGGGTGGCTGCTGCCCCTGGGCTTCTGGGACCTGTGAATCCCCTCTCTCAGACGGCTGTCGGGGTGGGTCTGAGGAAGGCCCCGAAGCCTGGCTCTCGTCGGGCTCCTGCCCCTCACTGGCCTCCAGGACCTGCTCTGGCTGCCCCGCGGAGGCGGGGAGCTGCTGGGGCCAAGTTGCCGCCTCAGGATCTGCTCTGCTATCAGACTCTGGCTCGGGCCAGTCCTCCTGCTCTGGCCTCTGAGCCCCTGAAGCCTCCCCTTGCTCGAACCCCCCCTTGGGGTGCAGCCTTGGAGGAATGGACACCCATTTCCGGAAGGACCGACCAGTTGTTCAACAGGAGACCGAGAAAGCAGTGACTGGATGTTGCACCCAGTCCCCTCCCCCAGCAGCTTCCGGGAGGAATCCACAGGGAGGCTGTGCCAATGGTCACAGCCCCTCGACCTTTGACCTCCACTGTGCATGCTGGGATGCGGCGGGGGGCTGCCAGGGGGGTACTTGCTGGAGAGCGGGGTCTTTCCAGCTGGCCTAGTTGGGGAAAGTGGTTTCCAGGAGGGTCTGCGCTCCTGCCCTTAGGATCCCCCACCTGAGGGGCCTGCATATGCTACACTGTTATCAGTCCTGGGGTTCCCTCCTGTGGCCTGGCGGGGGTGTTGATATATCCGCGGAGAGAAGCAGAGGCTGGGACAGAAAGGGAGAAGGAGGCTAGAGAAGCCCAGAGTGAAGACCTGCCGGGGCTTTTTATTTCATTTATTTATTTTTTTAGATTTGTTTATTGTTATTCAAGAACTGGGGTACAGGCCAGATGTGCTGGAGGGTGAGAGGATTCACCAGAGACAGAGCAGGGAGCCGAAGAGGCAGACTGGCTGAAATACACTGCTGAGGGGAGCAGCAGGCGAGACAGGAGATGTCTGCTGCGCCATGTGGGAGCCTCGCTGGTGGCTGGGGCCAGGGACAGCTCCACAGTGCGGGGCTCAACCCGCGGCGCCACTGGGGAGGCCCCAATTTTCATTTTAAAAGTGAAGAGAAATCAAATACTAATAAAATGCTAGTCATGAAAGTTGAGGTAGTTAGATCACAATCACGAAAAGTGGATATTCAGAAGAATAAAAAATATTGCAGATAAACAGGTGACCACATAGTGACAAAGAGTTTGATTTATGGGACTATCCTAAAATGTGAGGAGATTGTAGTCTCAAAATATGTTTTTAAAATTCCAGAGCAGAAGAAAATAATGAAAATTACAATGGACGTGCACAAATTAGAGACTTGATAAATAGAGAAAATCAGTGCAATCCAAATGACTAAAATCAAAAATGAAAGATTACCATGGATCATTCTGAAATTTAAAAGAATTATAAGAAATTACTCTGAAAAATGACATGCCAACAAATTGTGCACAGTGGATGAAACAGACAAATTCCTTGGAATAGAAACGGTACCAAGGCCAAATGGACAGACCTCTCTCTAGGAAGAGAATGACTCAGTCAAAGAAAAGCCGCTTTGAGCATGCATTTAACTGGGCTTTGGAAAGGGGGGTGATTTACAGTTCCTATTATAAGGAAAATTGCCTGGCGTTTTCCCATGGTTGCAATCTCTTTGCATTAATAGCAATTATTTTTTTAATGTAAGTAGAAAAAGCATTTTTCATAAAATCTCCAGATTATAAGACTACTCTGTCTAAGAGTTTATGGGAATATCTTTTACAATCTCTTAAAGGAGAAATAGATTTTGAATATTGGTTTTCCATAAGGTCATGGTTGAAAGGAGACCACAAGAGGGCACCTGTTTTCTACCTTAAAAGTTACTATAAATTAAAAAAAAAAAAAAAAAAGTTACAGTAAACTAGCAGGAGGGATCCTTTTCTTTTTCTTCTGTGTTTCAAGCCCTAATTACAGCCACCTCTTGAATTTATTATTCACATGCTTTAAACCTACTGGCATCTGTATCACATTAAGCCTGTAGATGGAATTACTGATTTGGGAATGCCATGTGTTATACCACATGCATATTATGGAGGGAATGGCTTGGTTTCCTAAAATTTGAAGAGGAAATGTCAAAGGGTGCGTAAAAGTGTTCTACCATGAAGCAAATCCAGGCACAGGGCCTCTCACTGCCCATCTCTGTGATATGTCTTTAGCATCACGTCAGCATATTTTTCCCCTCAGAAAACAACTACTGAATGTCCACAAGAGTTCACAAATCAGTCACTGTTAGTACTAACTTTTATAGAAAAGCAAATATATGCTTCTGGATCCTATATTATCCTGTCTTCTCCTTCTAGATTATTTTATTAATCTACTTATCTAGATTACTAACATTTGTTTGAGTCTAGAATGTCAGTCAAAAAAGACTGTCTTTATTTAATTTTTCTCCTGCCAATTTTGTTTTATACTATAAGAAGTGTAGTGGCAGGTAGGGCCACTGAGCAGGATATCTATGATCCAGCAGATGGGTAAAGGAGAGCCTTGGAGCCCTCCGTGGCTTTCTCAGGCTTTTATTGAGCTTTACATGTAGTATGGCAAACAGGTACACAGCAGGCGGCGTGCTGGGAATCATGAGTCCTGCAATCCTCCAAGCCCCCAGCAAGTCTTCACACTGGGCTTCTCTGGCTTCTTTCTCTGGGTCTTTCTCCTGCCTCTTCTGCTGCTGCTTCTCTTGGTGTCTATCCCAATACTCCTCCCATGGCCAACAGAAGTAAAGGAGACAGCTTGCAATAATGTAACAACTGCAGGGCCCCGTCAGGCAGGGCTATCCCAATAGTGGGAGGGCAGAAAAGCCTGAAAAACCATTTACCTGCAGAGGAATTTGGCTTTCTTACAATTCCTAAGAAATAAGATCAGGCCAATTGTTCTATGGGTTTACCTGCTATGTTTGATTTGTGAAACTCTTTTGTATTGGCTGCAGAGCTGGAGATCACACCAAGTATTAACTGAGACATGATGGCATGCAATGATATGGCATCGGAGTTGGTTTGTTTCTTAGGTTTCTTCCTTTCAACTGACACAACGCCCTGACCTTTCATCTGAGTATGGCAATACACTTTTCCATGGAAGGGTCCTCCATACTTTAGAAAATACCATCTGTATGAGAACAGGAAAGGAATTGGGATATTAAAGAACATAGTTTAGGACTTAACATTTTATCTAGTCTGCTTCTTAGGCATAAGCAGTCTAGATCAAGTCAAGCAGACAAAGCATAACCGAGTGCTCAGTCACCTGCTCTCCTTACCTTTATCAGTAGGTAGTTTCATTCTCCTTCTGTTTCCCAGTTGTCCTCAACTGGGGACACTGTACATGTGCACTGCATATTCTCTGTCCCCATCTCCTTCTTTTTAGTCCCACTCTCTCAGGTTAGCTAGAGCTTGTTTGGTGGGGGAAAAAAAGGGATATTGCCCACTGCTATTTATAACATGGCTTTCTAAATTTGTGTGTTAGTAAGTAATGTGATTATTTGTTTCCTACATTTGACCATAAGCTCTTCAGAGACAAGAACTGTGGCTTATTCATTCCTGCATTTGTTACCCATTGGAGACCCAATGTTATTCAAAAGTGGGTGAGAATACAGCAGTGGCAGCAAAGAAAGGACCTTCCAAATGACTATTATGTAGCTGCTTATTCTCACTACTCAGATGGCCCTCCTGGACTTTCTGTACTGCAGTTTTATTTAATTAAGATGTGGTAGACACATTAACTGAAATGGATTCTGTACTAAGTAGATCCTCTAGGATTTTTTTCAGATGCCTTTATGCTCAATGAGATAGGAGGTATCTTGTTGTATCTTCTTATGAGCCCTTTTTCCTTTCTTCTTTCTTCCTTGTTAGGAATTAAAGCAGTAGAGTTGTTCCAATTTGTGTAATAAGCTGCCCCTAGGTATTATGAGTTCCTCATAGTTTTCTTTTTCTGGGTTAAAATCGTAAGAGTTGCACCAGACGTTGAGAAGGGGCTCTACAGCTGAAACACGAATAATTCAGAAAGAAACTGAATTCAGGATTAATAGTGCCAACAGCAAGAACTGATCATGAATATAATATGTGGGGAAACATTGATAAGTTGTGTATCAATATCATGGTAGTGTGGTCAGCTCTTAACATCAATGGCCTCCACTGAATCTTGACTGTCAGTAATTGTGATATTCCATGGTCCCTTTCCTTAATGACTCTGGGTTTGGCTAACTTGGTCAAATGAGACATTAGTAAGACTGACACATCAGAGGACTGACAAGTTTTTGTGCATTTGGAACTTGTTGGCTCTGAAACAAGAGAAAACAAGGTCCTGCTGAATTGGGATCAGCTTCACAGCACTCATAGTAAAAATTTTAAAGTATTTACTTTAACCTTGACCTTAAATTTATTTTTTTACATATTTCAAGTGCCTTTATTTTTTAAGTAATAAATTTTATTTGTATATTCCCCATACACTTTTTATATAACAAAGTGAGTTTCCAATTTTCTGTAATAGATTGATACCCAGAAAGAATATCAGAAAACAAACTGGAGATTGCTTAAGGGAAAGAAAAATAGAGATTTCATTAATGGAAGTATTAGAAAAGGAGAAAGGAGATATTGAAGGTTGTACTAAGCACACAAAAAGTAAAACAAGCAAATGAGATCTGAAATATTGTTGAGATAGGACTTTGAAAGGGGGAAATAATTTTATATTTAACTAGGTCAGAGAGTGACTATAATCTGAAAAAAATTATCAGAGAAAATAGTAGTAATGCTCCCAAAGGGGAACCAAGTGCAGAAGGTAAATGAATAGTTGGAGAAGTTCTCTGGAAGCATAGAAGAGCTAGTCAGTGGTTACAAAAAATCAATGGATTTTTCTATTTCTATTTTAATTTTATTTTTCCATATGTATACATGTTTCACTCACCCTCCGCCAAATCACTCATGTCAATACCCCCTTGGCTTCTCTATACTGGCCTCCTTCTCACTCCCCCCACCCCGATTCCTCTGTAACCATTAAATTGTTTCACTGAGTTTAAGATCTATTCCTGCTGTATTTTGTCTGTGTGTTTTTTGGTTATTAATGCTTCTCAGATGAGTGAAACCATCCATTAGCTATCTTTCACTTTCTGATTTGTTTCACTTAACATAATTATCTTGAGGACCATCCATTTTGTCCCCAAAGCCATCTTTTTTCACATCTGTATTTCATCTTTTTTCACATCTGTATAGTATTCCATAGATGTTTAAGCCAAGATTGTGGACCATTAGTTTAGACTACTTCATGCATTAGTAAGTACATTTCGAGGGATAAAGTTACATATAGATTCATGTTTTACCTGAGCACTATTGGACCAAGAATTTCTAAAGTTAAATCTTCTCCAATAAGAAGCACACAGAAGAGAAACCTTAGAAAGGAACCGAGAAGGAAAAAGTGATCAACCTGTGCCTGAAGTGCATGAGGCAAGGATCCTGAGAAGGAATTTGGATAAGTTTATCTAAGTTAGTAAGGTGAAG